CGATTTCTTGGGTACAACTTGGACTAGGAACTACTTGGAAACATTTCCAGATAAAATAAAGGACAACTACATGTGAATTTTCAGTAGAATTTAAAGAAGAACTCCAAGACAATTCAGATATAAAATTTATGAAAACTCAGAGGTGAATAGCATGGTAATTTCTATGGAGGTGAATTCTTTAAGAAAGTTTATAATACAACGAGAATCTAAGGACGAATTTCATGATTGTTTTAGTGTGCTGCAGAGAATATTTCCTCTGTTATATAGAAAATTTGAGGCATCATCGATCTCTAAACTTTTATCAAGTTCATGTACCTGATAAGCCTAACGCCTAAATTAGCATAGATTTCAAAATTCAATTAGCTCTAAAAACATAATTTCTCAATCTTTTTTTTCACAACAAGTTGCATTTCGTCGGGAATCTATTGAAGTTTTTGAATCCATATGAAAACATTTGGATCAATACATGGTTCCAGAGTTATTCCGGTTCCCGTTGGGGTCACTTTTGGTCGGCATTTGGCTTTACTGTTCTGTAATAAGTATACACACGATGAACATCATGCTTTTTCTCTTAAATGATGTAATTGGACCAATGGCAGCTATACTGACGTTCCACGGTCACATTGGGCATCCCGGAAATGTTCCTGTGTCCCCGGGGAAGAGGCCAATTCTCGACAAGAATCAAAACCTATCGTGTGACATATCAAACTTCATGATTTTACAAATCTTGGCCGGTAATGGCCTTATTGAGAGTCCATGGTAACACTAGGAAATTATGTTTTTAGAGCTAATTGAATTTTGAAATCTATGCAAATTTAGACGTTAGACACGCAAAGTTTAAATTTTTATTCTTGTCAATGTCCACAAAATTTAACCCTTGGATCATTTTCGTCAATGTCCTAAAACTCTTGTTTTGTAGGTAATTCTAAGTAGAATTCCAATGCAACCTTGAATAGGATTTAATACAAATTTTAATGAAAATTCATAACAGCTTTTAACGTTGATTCTTAAGGAATTATGAGAAAATTTGAACGAGAAGCACAATTACACCATGATTATTCTGAGGAGAACTTCAATACAAAAGAGAAATCTAAGGACATTATGAGGATAATTTAAAGAAGATTATGTGACAAAAGGAATCCGGAGCATGTTTCCATGTGAGTTTTCAGAGAATTCATAGAGGGTATATTATGGAGGATTACAATAAAATATGAGTATAATTCCTATCGAACCTAAAATGAATTCGGTTAAAAATTCCAAGAGGGTTCTGACAAATTTTGTGGAGAAATCTAAGAAGAACTGCAAGTCATTTTTTAGGTGAGAATTTCATAACTGTGAGTTTAATTCCAAGGAAACGGGCAATATTTAAAGGTAAGTTCAAAATATATTCAATGAGAATAATTCCAACGGATTTCTTAGAAATATCCTTAGAAAATTCTGAGCTAAATTTCAAGTGGATTTCGAGGAGTATTCTAAGGATATTCCGGCGTTCTTTTGCAGATAATTCAAAGGAAAATCCCAGCAGCATTTCGAAGAATTTTTGGGATTTCCTAGCAGAACTAAAAAAATATTCCTAACATAATGCCATGACAATCACAGTAGGCATTGGTTGTCAGGATAAGTTCATTTGTTACCCAATCCTGCGCGCTCAAAACGAAAATTTCGGTCTATGCGCTTCTGGCAGTTTCCGTCAAATTCCTGGGCAGAAATTTCATAGCTCGGTTTACCGGAAGAGTATCCCGGAAAAATATAAAATCAAAAAAAAAATTAAATTCCCCAAAAAGTTCCTTGTCTGGCAAGCAATCTGCAGTTGTGGGATTAAAAGTGAAACTGGAACCATGGACCAGCAAATTTACCAGGAGGAGTGCCTACGGAAAAGAATACTGCCTTTTCTGGAGCAGCACGAGGTGGATTGTCTATTCTGGCCGGACTTGGCAAGCTGCCACTACTCAAATTCTACCAAACAGTGGTACAGCGAAATTGGTGTCACAGTAGTTCCCATGGAGATGAATCCGACCAATACTCTCCGGAACTAAGGCCAATTGAGAAATACTGGTCAAAAGTGAAGCACATACTGAAGAAAAAGGGTGGAACTATAATTGGCCTGCAAGATTTCAAGCGGAAATGCAATTTGGCAGCCAAACACTTAAAATGGGAGCAGGGCTCGTGCAAAAGATGATGGACCTTGTACAAAGAAACGTTTGAGAAATGGCATATGGTAAGAAGGAAGACTGAAACAATGGTCTTACAATAAGCATAATACTTACAAATGTATAGCTGCTACATTGAACTATGAAAAATAAAACGAATTTTAAGCCCCCAACAAGATTTCATATTTTCGGGTTCAACCTTTATAATGTCGCTTTCCCAAGTAATTCAACCTTGTTCGGTCCAGTAGATGCTCGGCCCAGTAGAATGTATAGCAACTACTGTTGTAGAAAAATTATGCTTTTTTTCAGTAATTCAAAAACGGCCTAAGTGTCCCTAATTTGGGCCCATACATAAATTCAGCAATCGACTAAATTTTCAATAACTACCAAAAATATCCATTAGTACCGTCCCAATGACGCGTTCATCTAGATAAAATTGATCAATAGCAGATTTTTAGCGATGGGCCCAATGTTAGATCCATAGGCCAACATTAGAGCCATTTCCCCTATATCATTTAATATTTTAAAACTCTATCTCGACGTTTCATTCCTCATTTCGGAAATAGTTTCAATAGGCAATGTCTTCTTATTAGGTAACTAAGCAAACGCGGAGCTCCTTCGTGATGCAAGTCATAAAGATCATCATCATCATCATCAGTCGCATAAAGATCATCATAGTTCATATTTAAAAAGCGAGATGTGTTAGAGAATAGATTTATTCTAGACTTTAATTCAGGAGACCATAAGAATTTCAAATATGGTAAAATAACTCTGTTATTGAAAATCGTGTTACACAGTGTTGTTAGTTTTTAATCTAGTTGTGCAATATTAGCTTTTGACGAATGCGTACAGATATGAAATCGATGCCTACCTGACTGACAAATCAATTTGCATGATTCTATTTCTGAAAGTTTTCTGATAATGTTTAAGTCACATTTTGGTAACTTTTTAAAATGATTTTAGTCACTTTTTAGTTATTTTTAAATGATTTTAGTCACTTATTCACTTTTTTTATTGCTTAACACTGCTATCAGCCCTGAAATTAGCAAATTGCGGGAGCATTTGAAAGAAGTTTAGTAAGCTCCGAAAATTAGTTTCAGAAAATTAGTGTGGAATTTAAACAGTTCCCAGATTTTCAGATAACTTCAGAGACGTAAACAGTTGTTTGAGGTATTCGCATAAGTTCAGAAGTTCACTGAAGCTTAAACATTTTTAGGACGATTTAATTAAATTCAACGCAGTACAACAAACTTCATGCAAACTGCAAAAACTTTAGAAAAGTTTTGAGAATTTCAGAAAAGAACAGAGAACCTCAGAGCAGTTCCATCGACATTAGAGTAGTCACATAAATTTTAAAGAAGTTTAGTGAACTTCAGTGAATTGTTAAACCTTTAAGGAGATCCATGATCGTTAGAAAAATTTAGGAAACTTTAGAAAGTCCTAGAAAGTTCCGGATTGGAGGAGAAGTATTGTGATCATCAGGCTAGTTTATCAAACTACAGAAGAACTTCAAGGCAGTTTCATTAACTTCAGGAAAAAATTGAGAACTTTAAAGTAGTTCTGAAGACCTCAAAATAGTCCATTCCATATTCAACGGAAATTACCTCAAAATCTCGATGAAGCTATCGTCAGAATTAAATGTGCTTTTAGTTTTCCTCAGAATTACCTTGAAATTCTCCACAATTAGAAATCCTATGGAAAACTTATCCGAGTATTCATTGAAATCATTTCAGATTTCCTTTTCAATCTCACTCCTTCCCTTGGAATTCTACTCACATTGAAAACCTCTTAAGAATTCAATTTCACTTTTCCTCACAAATTTTTTTTCTCATAATTTGTTTGGCAATCTCTCCTGGAATTATTTTCCGAATTTCTTTGAAGATCTCCTGGAGTTATTCTCAGACTTAATTGTAATCCTTCATTTAGTATTCTCTTCACCCCCTAAGTTTTTACCAACAAAATACGAGGACTTATGCTCCGATTTCAGATGTGTGAATGAAAATTACTAGGAATATGTTTATGAGATTCTAATTGAATAAGTCTAAAACGTCAAATATTTATTTAATATGCTGATTTTCTTCCCTCAGGTCACTTTTTATTCACTTTTTTACAACAATAAATCACTATATTGTCACTTATTTCTTCAACACGGTCCTACCAGCGAATTTTCAAAGTAGTTGAAACGTAGACACATTTTTAAAACTTCTAACGCAGATACAAATTCAAGATCCAGGGAAAATTTGCCTGTTTTAGTAATGACCCATTTAACCTAGTGATCACTACGGCTCAATCGCATTCGAGGTTTATGCTTAATATAAATGCATATCGAACAACCGAGAAATTTACTAAAATTCCAGGAAATTGCTAATCAGGATTTGCTGGTCATCAAGAATTATGTTCAAAACTTACACGAGGGAGATTTCACGCGACGATTATTTAAAATAAAACGCTGGTAAATGTGTTAACCCAGGACACTCAAATGTATCCTATTTTTTTAATAGTGTAAATGTTGTCTACTAACTCTTTAAGAACCCGTTGCTAATATCTTTCAGCATCAATCTTTAATGCAAGAACTTTTACCGTATTCTGCACACAAGCTTCCGCAAAAGGAGCTGTTCCCTTATTTCTAACGAATTCAACTAGGGTAGTTGTACCAGTTATAGCTATACGTTCCTATTGTTGGTGTGTTGTGGTTTATGGGAATTCCATAGGCTATAATTGGAACACACCATAGTACGAACGTATTGCGATGACTGATACATCTGCCCTATTTGATTATTCACTTATAATAACTGCACGTGCACACATTCCATGCTAATCGGTACCGTATTCTCTTCCTCCCCCTTCCAGCATGATGTCCATCCAGGAGGAGCTCGACCAAATGGGCATCAAAAACGACCAACCGCCAGCCTACTCGCAAGCCATCGCCGGGGACGACGCCAACATCACCGACAGCAGCGTCGACAATGACAATGTGTGCCAGAGTGGGTGGCCCAACATGCCGGGGGCAGTACCGGGGGCGGCCCACAAACCAGCCGGCTGGATGGATGGCCTGTTCGGTTGCATGCGGCCCGTCCTGTCGCTGATAGGCAAAAGCCACATTATGGAGATGAAGAGCAAACAGACTGAAGACTGGGAAATCCCCTTCGAGACCATTACCGACCTGGTGTGGCTAGGCAGTGGCGCCCAGGGTGCCGTCTTTCGGGGCAAACTGCGCAACGAACTGGTTGCCGTCAAGAAGGTCCGCGAAGTCAAGGAGACCGACATCAAGCACCTGCGGAAGTTGGATCATGAAAACATTGTAAAATTCAAGTAAGTAACAACATTGGAGGCCGACGTGATTCCTGATGGCGATAGCGCGTGTGACTCCAGGCATTCTGGCTGCACAGTTATTTTTAGAGCTGAGCACGTTTTTCCCCGTTCCGACTTCCTCGAACCCACCCTGTTGACCAGTGGCTTGTGTTGGTTTTATCCTATCCATTAACACACTTCTCTAATCGCGTGTGAAGAGTGTTTTGCTTTTTGCCCCGTTCTCAACTGGCGGCAAATGTCTGCCAAGGAGACACGACTTTCTATTACTCTTCTCCACCTCGCTCGTGCACATGGTTGATATATGTATTTATTAGTTTGATTGTAAAATTTCGATTACTTTTTCGAAGGGACGTATCAGCTTTTGTAAACAATGCATTTTATCGTCAACTTGACGTAATTGGTAGCTTGCCCACGCATGTTAACACTACCATCAGATAGGGGAAATTTCCCCCTACCTTATAGTGGTGTTAGTATCCGTCGGTGAGCCACCAGTTACGCCAAATCGACGATCAAATGCATTGTTTACAAAAGCTGATACGACCCTTCGAAAAAGTCATCGAGAAATGATTCGATCATTTCTCATACATTCAATCTATATAGTATTTCTGATTGCAATCGTTCAGCAACTTTTTTTTTAAATAAATGCATAGTCCATTTGTCGCCATTCTACTTAACGCGCACGAAAAATACATTTTCCAGACAACCGAAAACCATCGAACCCCAAATCTAACAAATCGTTCTTTCTTTTTATATCTACTTTCATTCCGTTCCCGACGCCACACCATAAACTCTGTCTGGCGCCTTACACCTGGATTGGATGGCTCCACACGCCAACGCTCATGGTTCTTATGGAACTGCACCGTTCGACGCCAAACCCAACCCTGTCGCCGACAATGGCACCGACGACGACGACAACAACAACAACAACAACAAAAACCACAATAACAACGTCGCCGGACGCCTTTTCGCGTTTACTTTCTCAATCAATCAACGTTTATTATGCCGTGTAGGGGCGTATGTACCCAGGCGCCGGTGTTTTGCATAATCATGGAATTCTGCCCGTTCGGGCCGCTGCACCAGATTCTGGCGGACGGCATGGACATCATTTCGCCACATCGATTGGTGTCCTGGTCACAGCAGATCGCTATCGGCATGCAGTACCTCCACTCGCACAAGATCATCCACCGAGATCTCAAGAGTCCCAAGTAAGTATAGGATCATAATCGTTATAAGAATATAGTCTTTCGATGGTACTTATATTGAAGCTTGGAGAAATAGTAGTGATGTTGTTTCATATCTTAGAATCAGTGATTGGAAAGTTTTGCTGTCTATGACGAAAGCATTTTGTTTTTACAGAAAGCGTCCCTGACCTTGACGCTACTCTGCTTTAAGTTGCTTTAAACGGATATCATCATTACAAGGGATCGGGACATTTCGCCCATAACAAAATCACAGAATGAGTCATTCCGCCGAAGATTATTTTTCTTGTGAAGTTATTTGTTTCCGAGATTTACAAAACCAAGGTTCAAAAGTTTCATGATAGTTATCCCAAGTAACATTGCAAGCTTTATAGAGGTTTTATAGCATTCTATAAGTCTGCATGATGGTCTACAGAACACTCTTAAAACCAAAATTGTTACTTGGGATGTTTTCTTCTTTTTAAAACTGAACTTTTTTCTTTTAAAATTATTTCATAAAAAATATAAAACTTTAGAAAGTGTTTCCTTCCTAAATTTACTATTCTTGAATTCTGGGCCTACTAAGCACAACCCTCCCTTTGCCTTTTTTGAGCAGTTTGGACTAAATGGAATGTTTTCACTGCAGATACCATCTAAATTTATTTACCTTTTCGTACGATTTGATAAAGAGTAACAAATTGTTGAGATATTGTTGGTTGCAAACATTCATATCACGCGTTCTTGTTGACTTCGTTCGGTAGCTTTTAAAGTAAAGTATCGTACCAAACGCATACAGTTCGTAAAAAGTAGTGTAAATTTCTGTTCAATATTATGCACATAAATGGAGCGTCACATATCATATACGTTTACTTTATATATCATGTAAAGTTCTGACACATTTCATGCAATGTAGCAAATATTGTATACAAAGGCCCATCTTTGTAAACAACATTGTTTGCTAGTTGCTCGGTTGAAATGAAATACAAGTCTACGTGGTGAATGAATGTTTACATCACAATTAAAATACAAAATTTTTATCTGTGCATACTTGACTTGTTAACGCCGAAATCATGGATTTATTTGATGTTTTCTGCCCAGGCGACTAGGCTGAAGTAATTCTCTCCCTACTTTTGAGAAACAGCATTTTGATTGATTGTTTGAATTATTGTATTGCCGGTTTTTTAAAGTTGCTCGTTCGTTTTTTTTTTTAATTTATTCCATACACATTTAATGATTCTATTATTTTTTACCTTTTGTCCAACATGAGAAGTTCTTTCGAAATTAACTATTCTTGTTATTGCTTTGTTTACCGAAAGTTTTAAATATTTTTTTTATTTTTTTTTAAAGCTGTTCGTTTTGTTCTTAAATTTGGTTCCATCGACTTTCTTTTGAGATCCGTTACTATTTTTAGATTCGTTACTTTTTGTAAAAACCTCTGAAAACATTAATTTAAAAATTCTCTTATATTTTTCCTTCTTTCTCATTCTCGTTTCTTCATTTAAACATAAGCAGTTCTTTCTATTTCTATTGTTTTCTGTTCTTTCTAGATATGTGGTAATGTTTTCTGACTGCTTTTGAAAAATGTTTGTTTTTTGCATAGCTCAGGGTGGCCAACAAACCGGGAAAGAATCGGAAATTTTTAAATTATCCGGGAATACCGGGAGTAACTCGGGAATTCGAAGGGACAACCGGGAACAATTAATAAAACCTAACAAACCCTAACAAACATTGAAAGCTGAAAAAAAACGTATTCATGCAAACAAATGCTTGTCCCGTAACGTGGGTAGATCACCTTTTTGTGGTACGTTACGGGATGTAAGATCTACCACCGATTCCTAGTCCTGACTACTTCAAACTAGGGGAACAGGATTTTTCAGTAATCCAAGGAATACATCTTAGTCCTTGTTACTTTTATGCCTTGTTGATAGTGACAAGACTCGGCTTTGTCCACCGAGGATGATCTTGAAACAAGGAAAAAAAATGAGTTAGTTGTCTTCATCTATGTGATTCCTAATCCTATTCGTTGTTCCCTAGTTTGAAGTGGTTAAGACTAGGGTTCTGATGCATGGTCATTATCGGTGTCATACCTTAATTTTGTTACTAAGGAATCCAATTTTGACTGACAAAGGGGTGCGCCTTTGGACTGAGGGTGTTTCAACACTCCGAAGGGTATAAATAGCGAGACCTTTCAATTAGAGTCGGATCCTTGCGATAAATGCAAGAGTGGCAACTGTAAAAAAATCGAATACTTCATCATTTCTCAATAGTGATGGAGTAATACGACATCCACTTAACTAAGAACACGGGATATACTACAATAGATCAATTTACTGGTCGCAGTAGTGTTAGGTCCCGAACAGGAAAAAAAAAACAAATGCTTCTTCAGATAAAAATTGATTTCTTCATCTCTTAATCAGTATGAATTGTTTGTTCACTTAAATTATAGGTTATATTTTTTCATCATTCATTTGGAGGCTATGTTATTTTTATTAGTGTTCTAGTCATTAACATTGTGAACTGTTCTTGAGTAATGATTTGCCAAAATAATATCAACATTACATATGCATATCCCTCCAAACACAAATCTAAATCATCATGGTGAAAAGTTGATCTTAAAATACCGAAATGGCTAACGAAGCGCCAAGCCTTAGCGTGAAACTTCAAAGGCACAAATGTCAGCTTCCACAAAACATACAAATTTGAAATTGCTACTCTCTGTTTGTAGTGTTATATGAAGAAACCTGATAGCATGAGCATTAGACTGATGCAAAATTTGAAATTTTCGCTCCCCAGTGTTCAAACGGTTCCAAATTGGGCCCTGATTAGCCTCCCAAAATTTGAACTCATTTAGTGAGAAACTTACTTGGCACAAACCATTTGAAGTTTATATGGGAATTACTATGGAGAAACCATAATTTCGGTTCATATCTATCTCAAAATTCACCAGTTCACTCTACTTTAGAAAATAATAGCTGAGCTTGTTGAAAATTTTCTCGGCTACAACTTGTTTCAAGACCACTTTTCGATCAAATGTAATGTCTTACGATTATGATCAATCAACTGTTCAGCAGGCAAAATTGGTGTTTATGGCGCGTAGAATAGAGGACAAAAATCATGGCTACTATGGCACGCTGCCGAATACAGTGTTGCCCACAATACAGTTGCTTAATCTTGCCATAAGATTATCAATCTCTTAAACAATTAATTATTATTTCATTTGTTGTTTGGCTGAAAACGATTTTCTGCAAAGTTGTAGCTGATAAAAATTCCCATAAGAATAACATTGGAATTTGTTAACACTACAATATGTTAAAAGGCTAGAAGACAATGAACAAAAAGTTTTGTTTTCTCATAGTAATTTCCATATAAACTTTAAATGGTTTGTGACAAGTCAGTTTCTTATCAAATTAATTTAAATTTTCGGAGGCTAATCCCCGATTTGAAACCGTTTGAACACTGTGGAGCGAAAATTTCAATTTTTGCATCAGTCTAATGAGCATGATTGGTCGCCCGAGGATACAACTCTGTTATTGCCAGATTAGCTGTAATTACACAGAGAACCAATAGACGTTGCTTGGGACTAGCAATCATCCACAATTTGTAAATACTAGTGATCTTAAACTAGGCAATACCAGCCCCGGCCACGTCCGAATGCTGGTCAAGAAAGGAATGGAAAGGAATACGTTGGATAAATGGGTTGGGATTGCAGCAGGATTAGTTTTGGTAAACGATATGCTGAATTGATGTCCTAACGATTCATTATCGCGAAGGAGATTGGGTTTGAACCCACTATCTTCTGCCCAGTAAGCAAAATCGGTCGCCACTAGGCTACCGAGCTCCTTATATCACAACAAGATTACGATCAAGTTGATTGAGAATTCCTTAGGGCTTAATCTCAGAATTATCTTGGGATTCTAGACAGAACTCCTTTGGATTTTTCTCCGAGTTTTTCTCATCTTTTTTTTTGATGAATTATTCAGTATTTCTTTGTAATTTTAAAATTTCTATGAAAAACTACAAGGGATAGCCCAATGGGGTTGTACGAACAGTTGACGTAGGACTACGCTCACAAGGGACAGCCCTATGGGCCAAAACAAACTCTTTAACAAATTTATGGTGGTCCTGAAAAGGACCGTTTTGCCGTGATAGTTGAGTAATGTTGAGTTATTAACGTGTTTTACATAGATAAGGCTTGCGAGCTGTATGTTGTTTGGAACAAGGTTGCAAAGACTCATTTCAGCTAAAACAATGTTTTTCTAAATTATGAAATAATTAGATGCCATGATCAAATTTTGAATTGGTAGGATACAAGAAGAGGTTGCAAAGAATGTGTTTGACATATTAAACCTGTTTATTTCACTTCATGAGAGTCACAATCAGCGATTTTTCACAAACTCACTCACTCACTCACTCACTCACTCAGCGATCAGTAAATCGCTGGTTGTGACTCATAGAAAGCAAAATTTACAGGTTTTATGTTTCTAACGCATACTTTGTAACCTCTTCTTGTAAGTTACAAGTAAAACATGCCATCGTACCATCTTTTAGTTTTATTATTCCGAAAAACATTATTTTAGCTGAAATGAGTCTTTGCAACCTTGGTTTGGAACGGTGCCGCGCTTGACATAGATGACCCACAGAGGTTCACGACGAGCTACTGATTCCGATCAATAGCGGTGCGGCTTCTTCCTCCTTCTATGGATGCTAATGTGGGCTGCAGCTCGTTGCTTGGAGAACAATGTTCAACGCCACGCGCCGAAAGCACTGCGGCTGCTGCTGATGCCAATGCCTGGACACTAACACACACGGTGATTGGATAGCTAGCTTCTTGCGGTGAGCCTTTCGTTGTGTACTGAAGAACACCCCCACTCACCACGCGGTGATTGAATAAACACCGTTTGGTGAGACCGGATGGAATTGATGAATTTACGCAAAGGTAATTTGATGGCGATTTGACAGGTAGAAAAACGTCATTATCATTTTTACATCATTTCCATCTGCTGGTTGACCGTAACGTAAATTCATCA